ACATCTTTACAAATTTAGCAATGAAAGGGGGTTCCTTTAACAATGGAAATCATTGGAAACCAAGGGCCGTTGGCAAGTTTAGTGCTCACCCATCTTGTTTTATTTTCAGTGATGAGTACAAGTAATTTTATGAACCAGATATTGATTCTTTAACTGGTAGGTGGGTAAGGAAGATAAGAAGCTGATGGGTTGGGAAGAAATGCTGGAAAAATCAGAGGAGTATTTTCTGGCTAATTCACTCTGTCCTTGTTCTTCTAAGGAGGCTTATGAATCTTAAAGAAGTGTACCTCCCAGTATCTGCTGATAGGGCCATTTCTTTCCTTAAGTGTGAGGATTTGTAGCTGACATCCTTGTGCTCCTGTTCAGTCGTATCCGACTCTTTTGCAACCCCATTGACTGTAGCCTGCCAGGCTCCTCTCTCTGTGGGATTTTCCAGGCAAGAATATTGATTGGAGGGTGTTGCCATTTCCTCTTTCAGGGGACATTCGCAACCCAGCAGTTGAACCTGCATGCCCTGTCTCCTGCATTGCAGGCAGATTCTTTACCCCCTGAGCCATCAGGGAAGCCCCTTATAACTGAGACAAAGAGTTATTTTTCAATAGATCATCAACAGGCTCTAGATTATATATATAAATATATGAGGGCTTCATTTTCATCAACATCAAATTTGATGCATTTGCTATGCATAGGGAGACAGCTGCTCATGAACCTGAAACTTGACCTGCAGGTTCTTGCAGAGCACATCCAAATTATGTGATCTGTCTCTTGGTTTGAGGCTGCCGCTTCAAAAACAGAATTTGCATGAAACTGAAGTCCATTATACAGAGTGAAGTAAGCCAGAAAGATAAACACCAATACAGTATACTAACACATGTATATGGAATTTAGAAAGATGGTAGTGATAACCCTATATGCAAGACAGAAAAAGAGACACAGATGTATAGAACAGACTTTTGGACTCTATGGGAGAAGGCGAGGGCGGGATGATCTGAGAGAATAGCATTGAAACATATATATTACCAAGTGTGAAACAGATCACCAGCCCAGGTTGGATGCATGAGACAAGTGCTCAGGGCTGGTGCACTGGGATGACCCGGAGGGATGGGATAGGTGGGAGGGGGGTTCAGGATGGGGAACACATGTAAATCCATGGCTGATTCATGTCAATATATGGCAAAAACCACTACAATATTGTAAAGTTAGCCTCCAACTAATAAAAATAAATGGAAAAAAACCCCACACAAAACCAACACAGAAACCCCATGTGTGAAATCAGTAAAAGGAATAAATTACACGTCAAGAAAAAAAACCAAAACACAAGAGAATTTGCCCCTATTCTGGACATCTTTACTTTCAAAGGCCTCCTTTGCCCAGGACAACTTTTGTTAGATTCCTTCAGGATGATCCGTGTGTTGTTTCATCCAGCAGTTCCTTCCTGGTGCCCTTTCAAGATTCCTTCTCCTTGCTCTGTGTATGACCATACTGGTACACAACACCTCTATAAATGCACCCACAGCCTATATCTTTTCAGTACCCAGAGGCTGAGTTTTAACAAGTGTCCCTTCGATTCTGGTGAACAGAATGGAAGCTTATTGTTGGAAAACCATTCTGCTGGTGTTGAATATTTCTCAAAGATGACTGATCAAACTGTGGATTAAAGAAAATAATGAAAAAGAGAGGGTAGAAGTAACAGCTTCAGCCAGTTCAGCATTAAGGGAATTATAGACTGGCTGCACTGGTATTACTTTGCTAGCCTACTCATTAGATCCAGGGTTTGGTGATTGTATCCTTTTAAGTGATATATTTTTTTTCTGTTTAAAAGTTTTTATTCTTACTTTCTATAAGATAGTGTTTTATTGAATAAGAAATATCAGCATTCAGTGACAATTATTGATTATTATTACTAACAGAAATCAGTATATTTTATTTTCATCGTGATTAGCCATCTCTAAGCTGCTAGAAATAGGAAAGATTTTCATGTATAAGTCATCTTGGTTTTCAACTTACTTTATTGTTACACTGCAAAATATTCTCTCTCAGAATTGTTGTTACACTGCAAAATATTCTCAGAAAAGTTTCCTCTCCTGCAAAATGAAGTTTATTGTAATACAAATATCAGGATATTATTGTATAGACCAGATAAAATAAGATAGGTATTTTATAGGTAAGATAGGTAACTTGGAATGCAGTATTGCATGAAAGTCTTATTTTCTATTTCTGATACCTCTTAAAGCCACTGTTTAGGACTTTGTACCAACCAGTCTATTTATTCATGTGTGTATGCATCTTACACTGTTCAACATCAGCCAGGAGTAACCACTGAATTGCAAAACTATGGACTGTTGCTAAGGACTATAGTACATGACACAAATTATTTCTAAGGAACATAGTTTAATGTCTACTTTTTTCTCTTTTTTTTTTTTTTTGCCTTTTTTATATTTCTGTATGTCTTTCTGCTTGATATTGGAGACTGGTTTCCTAAGCAGTAACAAACCTCATTCAGTGGTCTCTATCCTTGAACTTTTTGGTCTATTAATTGCTTAAGAATTTTAGAAAATAAGCTCTTAACTGTTAGGTCTAATATTAGACCTAATATATATCAATCCTTGAGTTGATGATTTAAGTAGACATTTTATTGTTAATTCTGGCAAATTTTTATAGCAATCTCTTGGCCAAAATCATGACAGTAATACAGTATTATGCTCTAGAGCCTGTAGTATTTGGAGGAAAAGATTCATCCACTTTTCTAGTTGTTGATTTAACATAAGACTAGATTTTTTTTTACTTTCTTAGGGCAGTTAGTAAAGATGGACGCATTTTTGCATCCGCCAGGACTGACACACTCTTCAAAATGTGATAGTAATGTTTTCCTTAGTGTTTTCAGATGTGCTGTGTGCAAATGAAAAAGTTTTATACACTCAGTTGTTACCAACTCTTTGTGACCCCTTGGACTATAGCCTGCCAAGCTGCTCTGTCCATGGGATTCTCCAGGCAAGAATTCTGGAGTGGGTAACTATTCCCTTCTCCAGGAGATCTTCCTGACCCAGGGATCAAACCCAGGTCTCTTGCCATGAAGGTGGATTCATTACCCACTCAGCCACCAGGGAAGCCCAAGCTGGGCATGAACAGAGCAGGGGGAATAAGGTTTCACCACCTTTAGGAACACTATTCTGAGGACTTTCTTCAGGGATTCCAGGGCTGAGAGAGGTGTGAAACTCGTTACTGGCTTCTTCTGATAGCTATACTTCTTTTGTTTTTCCAAAAGCAAACAAATCAAACAAATAAAATGCTTGCCTTCAAATACTACAAAGAAAGAAAAGCTTCAGTCAGCAAGACTAAAGTAACTTTTCTCCAAACAATTTAGTTATTGGTAGGAAGAGACAGAGTAATGTAGTTTTAGCCATTTCTGGAAACTGAATTTTGTATGATAGTACTAAGAACTCTATACATTTGGTATCCTGATACACAATCTTTAATATTTTGATTATAGCCTACTTAGCTGCTTAACAAAAAAAAATATGAAGATCACCTTTGTTGTTTTCAGTTACTAAATCATGTCTGACTCTTTGCTACCCCATGGACGGCAGCACATCAGGCTTCCCTGTCCTTCACCATCTCCCGGAGTTTATTCAGACTCATGTCCAGTCAGTGATCATGCAAAGATCTCCTCTATCGTCCCCATCTCCTCCTTCCCTCAGTCTTTCCCATCATCTGGGTCTTTCCCAGTAAGTCTGGTGGCTAAAGGATTGGTGCTTCAGCTTCAGCATCAGTCCTTCCAATGAATACTCAGGGTTGATTTCCTTTAAGATTGATTGGTTTGATCTCCTTGCTGTCCAAGAGACTCTTAAAAGTCTCCAGCATCATAGTTTGAAAACATTCATTCTTTGGCCCGTCTTTATGGTCCAACTCTCACACCCGTACATGGCTACTGGAAAAACCATAGTTTTGACTAGATGGTCCTTTTCCGGCAAAGTGATGATCATCTTATTGGTAGTCATGCAGATGCTTCCTCCTGTTTTCTAATGCTCCTTTAACCAAAGCAGTGTTTTGACCATCAAGGTCCTAAATATTTAAATGAGATTTTCATCTTGTTATACAGAGAAAACATTTCTTATTATTAGTCACATTCAAATTATAAATGAGAAATTTTAATAATAGATTACTAACTATTATATAAAGAGAAATGCATTTTTAACTTTTTAATGTATTGGAGTATTCTTTCAGAAATCTGAGTTTTTTAAAATGTGGGAAATATATAAAAATTTGAAAGAATAATATTGAGTAAAAGAATAATTGCCATGGCAAAGTACACATGAGAATTTATAGCTTATAAATAACCAAGATTAATTAAATTGACTAAGAGTTTCCCTCCATAACATTTAGTTTGACGTCAAAATCAAAATTTAGTTTATGTTTATAGTCACTTTTATAAACATAGGGAAAAGAGCTTTTTACATTCTCAAATTTTGCTACTTATGTTTTATTTATTACCTGTTAGTGATCTTCTAGCTTCCCAAATTTGGAGAGGTATTTGAGAATAATAATTTTAGAAAAATAATGTCTCAGAATTTAGGAGGTATTTGTTTCATCTTCATCCAGTACTTTCTTATCATTCTTGGGTCTAATAATTCTGACAGCATAAATCTATTTATGTTGGTTGAGATATAAGATGCCTTGTTTGTATTCCTTTAAACCTTTATGTTATGACTCCTATTAAAATAAAAAGTTTAAAAAAACCCCTTTATGTTCTGGTTTTTGTCCATATAATTTCAAAAGTGGAAAAATTGCATTCAAGACTATCGTTAAATAAAATACATTATTTTATTCATTCAGTTGTGAATAGTTTGAATATTGTTACTATATGGTATTGTCTTTCAGGTAAATCTAATTAACAAAACCATCTTTTAAAAAAACTGACAGTGGTAAGGCAGCATTTGTCTTTATTTTCAATGTTATGAAGCACTTAATTAACAGGAAACCACCATGGGTTGCTTCTTTAGAATACCACTAAATGTTAGAGACATCGTCTACTGTACAGGAGTTTCACTACTGGATGAGGATGTCTGGGAATTCATATGGATGAAATTCCACTCTACCACGGCCATTTCTGAAAAGAAAATATTATTGGAAGCCTTAACTTGCAGTGATGACAGGAATTTATTAAATAGGTGAGTCAATTAAATGTTTAAATTTGTATAATGAGAGTATTCTCTGTTAATCAAATTGTACTGAACTTGTTTTTATTTCCTTAAATATATGCTAGTTACTCTAAAATAGATCTTTCTAGAGCTAAAGAAAATTGCCATATTAATATGATGAAAGCTTGTTGATTTGAAAGGTTTGTTTCTAACTGTTTTATGCCATTATATGTATGTAAGATAATATTTCATTATAAAAATGAAGTATTTATTAAAAAGACTTTTTAAAGCAAATTTTCATCATTAAATCAGAATAATAATTTAACCACTTACAAGATTTTTTTCAGACATTGGTTAATACATCAATTAAAATATTATGAGTTTGTTCTTCTTCCTTTTATCAACACAAAATTGTTCTATTGACAAATTTTTATTAGTAAAGTTTACACAGACTATTCTTTGAAGATTGTGATAACTTAAATCATATAATTCTGATAAGTAAAGAAAAGTTTGTTATTAAACTAAAAATTTCCCCACAATTCTATCCTTAAAGGCTTCTAAATCTATCACTGAATTCTGAGGTGGTTCTGGATCAAGATGCAATTGATGTGATAATCCATGTAGCTCGAAATCCACATGGCCGAGACCTTGCCTGGAAGTTTTTTAGAGATAAATGGAAGATATTAAATACCAGGTAAAAATAATAGTTCAGTCATTCTTACTGGAGTGAGTAAATCAAAGGTGATATCTGAGAGATAAAGACCCAACTTTTTGTGGTAGAAGCAAGATCCAGATAGTAGAATTAGATTTTGAAGTAGTCAGCCACTCCTGTGAAGCTCAGAATTAATTTAGCAGTTCTATAACATTATTCATTTATTAAGATTGATAACCATAATTATGTATGGAAATGTGCAGAGTGAAAAGGTTTAGCATTGCAGCTTTCCTGGAAAATCTATCAAACTGTCTTATGTTGAAGAAATTGTATCATTAAAATCCTATATCCTGAGTGTGTTGTAGAAAAAATGATTTATGAATCATAGAATGGTATTAGAACAAGAAATGGAGAAGGAAATGGCAACCCACTCCAGTATTCTTGCCTGGAGAATCCCATGGACAAAGGAACATAGTGGGCTACAGTCTGTGGGGTTGCAAGAGTTGGACACAACTTAGCGACTAAACTACTACTACTGCAATTCACATTGGAGAAGGAAATGACAATCCACTCCAGTATTCTTGCCTGGAGAATTCCATGAACAGAGGAGCCTGATGGGCTGCAGTCCATGGGATCACAGAAACTTGGACATGACTGAGTGACTAACACACACACACACACACACAGAACAAGAAAACTTTAATTGCTTCTATAGAATTGTGTAAATATTTTAAAAATATAAATATCATGAAACATCTGAAGTAAAGTCATGATATACAGGAGGGATGTTTGAGTCACTGTATAATTCTAGATGCCATAGAATTTATTCCTGAGCCGTCTTGCTTCACATTGAGAATTCTTCAGCCTCAGTTTTAGAAAATATTTCATTATGTATTTAAATATATTACAATAAATGTTAATGTACTACCCTGATAATCTCTATGGTATTTTAAAATTAAATTTATTATACAACATGTAAATGCTGCATGTTCTCAAACTTAAATGTTCCCAGACATTTAGCATACCCAGTGTTCTATCTCTTAAAAGCTGGCATATAAACTTTATTTTTTAAAAGTACACTGTTATTGGTTGACCTTGTATAATGAGTTCAGTTTGAATGTATTTTTAATAATAAAATGTATCTCTATCTGTAGATATTTCATTGTTAGAAAGCACTAATATTCCTAGATGGCACATTGTTTTTCTTTCTTGTATTTTCAGCTCAGAAATTAGAATGATTTACCCTTGCTTTGCTGTCATGCATAGTATAAGGAATAGTCAGACACAAGATGGAATTAATATATATGTACAAGCATTTGACTTTAAAGAGTGACAAATATCTACCAATGCAGAGTCTCTTTAGGGAGTGGTTTTGTAAATCAGAGTTCAGTATAATGCCTATATAGTTTATAGTCCTTATCTAAAATATTCGGTTCCTGGTATGTCTGTTTTGTTTCACTGAAAGTGCATCATCTCTAACCAAAAGGTAGAAAGATAGAGATAACATTAGAACCACCTCAGTCTAATGACCTCTTTGTTTAATTAACTAGACATCAATATTAGCTACAACTCTGAAGAGGGAGGAAGAGGCACTTGGGAACTCAACTTTCTGCTCAGTTTTTCTGTAAACCTAAGACTGCTGTCAAACTCAAGTTAATTTTTTAAAAAAGTAGAAAAGTGAAGTTTCAGCATTCCTACAGATAGAGCTGTGTTTATCGTGACAAATAGGATTGTCTTCTGCATCTTCCACTCCCTTGTCAATCTTGGAGCCTCAGAGTTCATGAGGGAACAGTCCAAGGTTCTCCTTACTTCTTGCCCTGCAGGTTCTCCCTGGTTGGAGTTGCCATCTACTCTCACAGTTTGAATCACTCCCAAATCTACACCTCTAGCTCAGATATTTCACCTAAGCTTCACTCTATGAGAGATGGTTTTTTGTTGAGATCCCCTACTGAGGTGTACCTGCAAAGCTAAACCATCATTTTCTATGTCTTCATTCTGTCAGTAAATATATGGCCATCCACCAATTGTTCAAGCTGGGCACCTGAAAATCTACATATAGTTCTTCTTTTTCTTTGACATATGTAAAAAGTAACATTTAGGCTTGAGGTCCTATCAGTTTAACAATTCCTAAATGTTTCTTGAATTCTTCCTCTCTTTCCTACTACCACTGCCTTAGTGAAGATTCTTATCCCTTGTTAGAACTACTAATGACTGTCTCCTGTCTCTACTTACATATGCTGCCACACATATGCACACATGTATGCATGTGTGGACACACACACACACCTACCACTGCCCTTTGTCCCAAGAATCTCTCTGAAAAGCAAAAATGACATTTCCTGCTGTAAAACCTTCAGTACTCTGTGCCATGTTGAATATCTAAACTCCTGTCTTACTAACCCTTCTACCTTTTACTCTGCTATCCTCAGTCTCACAGTTTATACCCTCAGTACCAAATGCATGTCATTGTTGGCACACATCATGTTGTTTCACACCTCCTTGCCTTTGTGTAGGTTGGTTCTCTGCCTAAAATTGCTTTCTTCCTTGATATTTGAAATTACTCCATATTCAATCCATCTGTCATCATCTCCTGGAAGCCTTTCTGGAGACCCCACAGCTAAAGAGAACTCTGAACAGTATATAATTTTATTTTCATCTCGTTTAACCATAATAACTGGGCGTGATCTGTTTACAGTACTGCATAGTATATAACCATCAAGGAAAGGACTGACTGTTTTTTTTTTTTTTTCACATGACTGCAAGTATAAGCAAAAGACTCTTTGAAGAGGAATTGTCCCCTTTCCTGTACAGTTGGCTATTTTTGTAACCACATATTGATTACTAATGAATACTTATTTTATTATTGAATGCCTATTTTATTTTATTTAGCCAACTTTTCCCATGGATTCAATGTTAGAACGGAATCATTTCCCAATTCAATGTTAGAATTATAGCAATTTATGATGGTCATATGGTTTAGCCTCCCTCTTTAGGCCAGGTAGTATTCCACTGTATACATGTACATCTTTATTCATTTATCTGTCAAAGGACATGTAGGTTGTTTCCATGTTTTGGCTCTTGTGAATACTGCTGCTATTGAAATAAGGGTACAGATATCTTTTTGAATTATAATTTTTTTGGGGGGTATATTACCAGGAATGGGGTTGCTGGGTCATATGGTAATTCTCTTTTTAGTTTTCTGAGTAACCTCCATACTGTTTTCCATAGTGACTATAACAATTCCCACAAACAGTGTAGCAGGATTCCCTTTTCTCCATACCTTCTCTGCATAGGTGCATGCTAAGTCACCTCAGTCATGTCCAATTCTTTGCAGCCCTGTGGACCATAACCTGCCAGACTCCTCTAACCATGGGATTCTCCAGGCAAGAATACTGGAGTGGGTTACCATGCCCTTCTCCAGATCTTTCCGACCCAGGGATTGAAGCTGCATCTCTTATGTCTCCTACACTGGGGAGATGAGGATTTCTTTTTACCACTGGTGCCACCTGGGAAGCTCTCCTGGTGGCTCAGATGGTAAAGAATCTGCCTGCAATGCGGGAGACCTGGGTTTGATCCCTGGGTCGAGAAGATCCCTTGGTGGAGGAAACGGCTACCCACTCCAGAATTCTTACCTAGAGAATTCCGTGGACAGAGGAGCCTGGCCGGTACAGTCCTTTGGGTCGCAAAGAGTCGGGCACAAATGAGCAACTAACACCCTCTCTAGTATTTGTTATTTGTAGACTTTTTAATGATGACCATTCTGACCAGCATAAGGTGGAGAAATGTCTATTATGATCTTCTGCACATTTTTCAATTAAGTTTTTGTCTTTTTTATTGCTGAGTTGCTTGTGTATTTTAGAGGTTAAGCCCTTGTGTGTGATATCATTTGCCAATATAAGCACCCCCTACCCCTCATTTTACAGATGAGAAAACTAAGACTCCAGAAACTAAATTACTTAAATTCCCACAGATAAGGGCAGCATTAGAAAGCCTCTTGTAATGATGGCTGGACTTCTGCTTTTAAAAATTCATAATCTTATCTTTAGTTTACTTTTTAAAAAATTTTCAACTTGTCTTTATGATAGTTCAGTATTAGTGTATAGAAATGCAACTGATTTCTGTTATTAGTTTTGTATCCTTCTATTTTACTGAATTCATGTAGTCTAATAATTTTGTGTGTGTGTGTGTGTGTGTAGTTTTTAGGGTTTTCCATATAGTATAATGTCATCTGCAAGCAGTGAAATTTTTACTTCTGCCTTTCCAGTTTGGATTCCTTTTATTTATGCTTCTTATCTGTTTGCTCTGGCCAGAACTTCCAACACTATGTTGAATAAAAGTTGTGAGAATGGTCATTCTTGTCTTGTTCCCAATCTTAGAGGAAATACTTTGATTTGTCACTGTTCAATATGATATTAAATGTGGGCTTGCCATATATGACCTTTATTATGTTTATGTGCATTCTCACTAATTTGTTTAGGGTTTTTTTTATCATAAATGAATAGACAGTAAGTCATTCTTAGGTTCTTTATGTAGTTGTATTTTGGGCATGTTCATAGGAGAAGATGAACTCAGGGTCTTTCTACTCAGCCATCTTGATCCTGCCTCCAGTTTAGCCTAGTGTACTGTTTTGTTTTTTTTTTTCAAAGAGTATGATATCCTGTTATAGGTACCCTTAGCACAGTAGGCACAAATTAGTAAAAGGAGAAATCTTTTCAACTTGCTGATACGTAGTATTCTTACCTTAGGTCACAAGTCAAATAATTAGGCTTGTGGTACAAAGATTGTTAAATTCAAAGGAAAAATTCAGTGTTTTATTTTAATGCTCATATGAAAAATTGCTAATCTTTTGGGAGCATTTTAAAGAAATTTGGGTTAGTTTCTAGGAATGAAATAGAAAATAATTCCAACATTAGTTTTGATTGACCAGACCAAAGGATCTCTGTGAATTATGGATAATTCCAAAAGTTGGTTCTGCAGTCGTGGAATCCTTCTTTGGTGGAATCCTTCTTATTTACAGTGACCCAGTTTGCTTTAAAATTAAAAGTTTTAAAATACCTTTTCTTCAGGCCTCATAGTGTAAATATAATAGTAATTCCTAATTATAATATCATAGGACTCCCTTTTTAAAAATTTATTATAATGTAGATCTCTTTGAAACACTGTGAGCCAAATCAGGATGCACTTGATGACATCCCATAGCCACAGCTCTTTGCACCTCTCCACTCCCTAGGGAAATGGCCTTGAATAGCATTAAGAGATGAAATGGAGCTCATGAGAAGGATTCTAAAATATCTATGTAGTAGTATTTCCTAAATTATTGCCTGTTTTAACATTGACTTTTTTTTAATCTTTCAAGGTATGGAGAAGCATTATTTATGAATTCCAAACTTATCAGTGGTGTTACAGAATTTCTTAATACTGAAGGTGAACTGAAAGAGGTAAATATTTTAAGATGAGTGTAATGTTTTTCTTTTGTAAACTTATGAAATTATAGATAGACTTCAACCATTTCTTTCCAATAAATTCATACTCATTCCTTTAAAGTACACACACACACACACACACACACATACATGCACACATACACACATTCATGCTGAAGACTTTACTTCAGTCATTATTTGCAAAAATGTTTCTAACATATTAAACATTAAATATTAAGCCTGTGAAAGGTGCTTGAATGTAATGATTCTCAAAATGTTGTTTGTTGTTGTATAGTCACTAAGTCATGATCGACTCTTTGCCACCCATGGACTATAACCCACCAGGATCCTGTGTCCATGGGATTTCCCAGGCAAGCATACTGGAGTGGGTTGCCATTTCCTTCTCCAGGGGATCTTCCCTGCAAGGATCAAAACTGGGTCTCCTGAATTGCAGGCAGATTCTTTTCCACTGTCCACTGGGGAAGCCCCAGTGATTCTCAAAATAGGAGGCTCCAAATATATTCTAGAAATCTTCCCAATCAGCTGCTCCACATTTGACTCTGTGAGCCCGGGTTAGGATCCTTGGAACATTAAAACTATCCTGTCACAATGACTCAGCATTCGGATCTGCAGGACTAAGATTGCTGTTGAGGTACAGACCTTGAGTCTCGTTGCTTTATGGCCAGGTCTATACAAAGACTGATAATTGGATAAGATAATAATGCTTCCTGCTATCTGTTTTGTTAAATGGAATAAATTCATATGTTTGGGAGTAACTATATCTGACAACATATATTAATAGTTTGTTTAAAATTATGCCAAATGCTGTCACAAGTGAATTTCATTAATGAAACTGAACTTATTTTTTTTAAGGACTAAAGTCCAGTTTGCAGAATATCTAACATTTTCTTTTTTCTCTGGTTTACATCTCTGGAATTTAAACCAGCTGGCTTTGTGATCATTAATTCACATCTCTAATAGAAAGGGATGTGAGATTGGGGGTGGATAACTAGGTAGGAGGAAGGAGTAAAATATTTCACTGATTAAAATGAATTGGACTTCAAACATTTATCACTTTTTAGCCTCTCCTCACCCTATAATTATAAAATATTGCTGAGGTGTACCATTGAGAATCACGGTTTCTTTAGTTTTCACTGACAGAAAGCCTGATGCTATGACTCAGGCTAATCCCATTGAGTAAGGTTCCCCCAGAAGCATCAGCCTTCCTCCATCCTTAATATCTCCTAATATTGCCCAATTTTGTATGATCATCTTCCCTGCACCAACTTGGATTCTTTCACACCATGAGCTAAGCTAAGTCTCTGATTGTAATAACTTGAAATTCTATTTTTATCCCTGCTTTGTGTGTTCCCAGCCCTGAAAGATTTGGATTTGAAAGCGCCAGTACATGTTTTGCTATATTTTTTATTAGGAACCTAAAAGAGAAGAAATTCTTTCATGTTCAAAGGAAGCAAAAAGAAAGAACAGTTAAGCTAATGGTGTTGTGTATTTAAATGAAGTAGTTTTAATTCTTTGATTTTGCATTCAATAATCTGGGAATGAAAGACCCAATTAGTGACAACTTGTGCAGCCATTGAAGTGAACACAGAAGTGAGAAATCTCTCCTCTCCTCCCTTCTCCCCTGTCTTCATTTTGGCTTCCTTTCCTCTCCTGGCTTCCTCTTCCGTTGTGCCTCTCCTGTTCTCCCTCCCTCTTCTGTTCTCTGACACTTTCATTTCCTCTTGCTTTGGTGATAACCCCAACCCATGGAAAAACATGTTTTAAACGGACATTTAAGTTAATTTTGTCATATGATGGCCATTTTGCTTTCCATATTTCACTTACATATTTAATTTTTTACACTTGATTTAATTGCCTTGTGAAATGTTCCAAGATACCCCTGTAATAAAATGTGTCATCTGGAAACTGAAACTCAACTGTGGCTTTTATTCCATTATCTGCAAAGCAGCTAACTTCACAACACAAGCTCTCCAGAGCCTGGGAGATGACTCCCTTCAGGACACAGCTACTTGCACTGACTTTCTAGTTTACCAACTGCAGCCTGAGGCTTTTCCACACTTTTATTATCTAATCATTGACTGTAAGACCCCTGCTGTTGGGTGGGAGGGATGATAATTTGTATTGCTGATAACCACCTTTCATAAATAAGAAGACACTTACATTGTTCTGTGGTCCTTCCCCAAAATGCCATTCTAGAACCTGAAGCTGGCCATTTCTTTTTAATTACATGGCTTTAACAATTTGAACACTATTTCCCCATGAAACAGTACATCATTTCCTTAATTTTAAACTAACGGGAGTACAACCTCATCGACTCTCAGAGGCCTTTGCCGTTTTTCATACTGATGTTCATTCAGCCATCCTCTCCAGCACTCTTTGTTTTTTGTTTGTCTGTTTGTTTTGCCTTACACACAACATTGTTGTGAAAGAACACAGCTCCTGTGTATCATGGGCATCCCGTTTACAGTTTTAATGTTGAAAATATAAACCTCATAAACAGGCAATAGCTAATTCGACTCAGTTAGTTACTAAGAGTATATTATGTGTTGCACATTACAAATTATTTTGTGAGTTTTAGGGTCTGGTGTACCCTAAGTTAAGAATTTTTTCAAATACTGAAATGTTTTTAAATAGATAAATTAACAAACAAGTCTAGAAATTTTATGCAAAGAAGAACAGGAAACACAAACAACTCTGACGTCTTACTAAATGTTGTTTTATAGAAATGTCTAAACTTGGAACATTTTCAAATAAAAGTATACGATGGCATAAATATTTAGAAAGTGCAATGATAAAAACTAATAGCAGCAGAACATCTACTGAAGAACTGCCAAAATAAGCAAAATGGAATGCCAAATGCCTTGCATCTACCCTATGCACTTGATAGTGAGGCAGGGTCTGGAAGGTGCTATGATCCTGCCTGAGGACCTGTCACGTGGCTGCTTTGACCACATGTTCACCAGAAGAGTAGGGGAGGAGTATGAGGCATGAGATCAGTTTATGCCAACTATGCAAAGGGGCCATCTGTGTTCTGATGAATCAGCTAATCTACATATCAGTCACATCATGCTCTCCGAGCTCACAAAGGAAGTATTTAGAGCACCTAAATAGTGATTTAAGAAATGAATCTCTAGAGACACTCCAGTTACATTTTCTACTAAGAATTGTCTTGCAGGATAATCTGACCTACTGTGTTTATGTCAATAACACATTCATAGTCAACCTCACAGTTTGCCTTTGAGATAGACAAGAGTTTTCCTTCATGTATTCAGGCTGGCTTACTATCTTATCAAAAGGCCAAGAGCTTACTCCCTAGAGTCAGAGTTGCCAAAAGGTCATTTATTACTATCTGGAGTATTCATTGACTGCCTAGGAAAATATGTAATAATGTGGAACATAGTTTAAAGAAGTAGATGTAATGTTTTTCCTGATTGACATATTATGTAAATAAAGCCACCATAATGAACAGATATAAAATACACTGTAATGTGCACATTTTGTAATAAATTAAAACACAAAATTCAAAGCATACATCAAAATGTACTATTTGTTGCTTTAGGAATATGGACTGAATGAATCTGAATGTAAATATATAAATTCAAATGAATTATTAGATAAATTAGTTAAGTTTAAAAATATGATTCAAATGCTGTCATTAGACTTCTTTTTATCTATGTGTACATGTCACAGGTATATATTGAAGGTATCAATAAATTTCAGTCCTTTCCCTTCATCCTCTTTCTTTTGTATGTGTCAGATGTCAGATAAGTTTTAAGGACAGCAACAATAAATCTTTGTTACACATTGAATATTTTTCATGTTTGTTATTAAAAGATAGTGATTTTCAAGTCTTACAGAGAATATAGCTCTGAGATATGATAATTCATTTCTGATGCTGCAAGCTACCTGGCTTTATAGGAAAGTAGAGGATAAACTTTGAAAAAAAATGTATCATATAATCATTGTCATAAGCAAACCAAGCTACCCCTGAACCAATTTCTAGATTAATTCAGAAAGGTTTAATTATTAATAACTCCATTTTAAATGACCCCCTCCCCCCCCCCCCCCCCCCCACACACACAGACACATCCCTCTATCCCCGAGTCAATCTTGATGGCATTTCTCTCCTGGTATATTCTCCATGTGGCACCCATCATGTGATGAATCTCACCTTATCCTAATTATACAATATAAACGCTTCTGTGTTACAAGTTGATTTTTCACATTTGTCTATTAACCTTGCATTCATTGGTAGTTGCCACTTTATTAAGACATATGAAACAGAGAGAAAAACTACTAGTATCTAATCTTGAAATAAAATCCCTGTGCATCCCTAAAGTGTGTGTACTCTCTAGAGAAAATCTTATACCTATAAAATTATGACAAATCATTTTAAAATTTTAACATTCTAATTAAAGCTCAAATTCTCTAGCTAAATGAATCAACATTCCTTCTTCATTCTTTCTAAAACTAGTTACTCAGGTGATCCAGTGTCATTAATCATCCAGTACTCATAGCATCATTATTTTTTTTTTCCGTTACTCAATAATTTTGGTATTCTTTTGCCAGCAAAGATAGTGTCAAACACTCATACTACTTATTTAGAGAAGATGAATGATTTTCTCCCTGTGGACAAAAAGTTAACTTTATTGCGTGTATTCAACTTAAGGCTGCTTAGTACATTAGATAACACATAGTCACCAGGCTTACCTGGTGGCTCAGACCGTGAAGAATCTGCCTGCAATGCAGGAGACCAGATTCAATCCTTGGGTTGGGAGGATCCCCTGGAGAAGGGAACAGCAGTCCACTCCAATTATGTATATTGACAATATAAAAAATAGACCAGAAAGAATAAGGGAGGGGTTGCAGACATCAGGTAACAGATAGCCCACTGTATTCATCTCCGACAGAGCTGGCGCTTCCCCTGACAGAGCTGATGGGTTTCTGAACAGGACTGGGGCAGCTGAGGTGGAGCAGAGGGAATGCCCTTGAGAAAGATTAGAAGATAGAAATTCCAGAATGTAGCCGCTATTAAGTGTGGTGGCTACAAGATGGAGAAAACTTTCCAATAATAAATAGATTGGTGGGCTGAATGTTCTCTGTCAATAAGCCCAACCCAGAGCACATGGGGACTTCCCTGGTGACTCAGAGGTAAAGGATCTTCCTGCAACAGGAGACGGGGTTCTATCCCTGGGTTGGAAGGATCGCATGGAAAAGGGAATGGCAACCCAGTCCAGTATTCTTGCCTGGAGAATTCCACAAACAGAGGAGCCTGGCAGGTTACAGTCCATGGGATCATAAAGAGTCGGACATGACTGAATGACTAACACTACTACTAGTACATTAGATATGCTTTGTTATTAGAACTAGTTTCTGCCACTACCTCATCAGCCCATTATGAAAGATGAATTCAATATTTATGAAACAAGAAGCTAAACTTGGAGTTATTTAGGCTTCCCTGGTGGCTCAGATGGTAATCTACCTGCAACACGGGAGACCCAGGTTCAGTCCCTGCATGAGGAAGATCCCTGGAGAAGGGAATGGCAACCCACTCCAGCATTCTTGCCTGGAGAATCCCATGGACAGAGGAGCCTGGTGGGCTACAGTCCCTGAGGTCACAAAGAATCCGACACAGCTGAGCAACTACACTTTAAACTGTTATGTCATTCTTCTTTCTTTTTCCCTTTCTGTTCCAAAAGAAATTACATTACACCTAATGGACAAAATCTGTTTCATTGCATTTCATTACTAAGCTCATTCCGCATATTAGATATACCTACTTAGCTCACTCCACATATTAAATACACATTCTGTAGTGACTGTGACACTATTTTTCAAATAGATTCTTGTTTATATGTGTTGGACATGGGCTCATTTTAAGACATGAATTTGTCATTTTTACATTTTATTTTTTATTGAAACATAGTAAAATATTGTATTATTTTCAGGTATACTGTATATACCTGTATATATTTGACATTTGCATACATTATGAAACAGTCACCACGATAAGTGTAGTAACCATCTGCCCCCATACGAAGTTATTAGAGTATTATTGACCATATAACTTGTGGTGTCTGTTTACCATTCTAACATTTCTGTTTCCAGCTAAAAAACTTCATGAAGAGCTATGACGGAGTAGCTGCTGCCTCTTTCTCAAGAGCTGTGGAAACTGTTGAAGCCAATGTACGCTGGAAAATGCTTTATCAGGATGAGCTTTTCCAGTGGTTAGGAAAAGCTCTGAGACATTAATATGTGTCTCTTATAAAGAGTTCAACTCAGAATTTTGTGAGAAGACCCGCTTTGGAGTGAGGAATATGGCCAGATTTTCAGTGTTAACATGTGGGAGGAAATTTTTTTTTTTAATTTTAGGAAATTTTTTTGTTTTATTCATTCTGTTTTGTTTCTCTACTGGGTGTTCTCTTAAGAAACTCTTGCAAGTGGATCTAGCCATGACTGCTTCTGCTGTACATTCCTCGCTGTACAGGACCAAATGTGACAGTGGTGCATGTTGACGTTGCAGTCAGTATGGAAAACATATTCAGAAAATGTGCATGGTTGTATGGTCCTGCCTGTGTTCCAGCATGCTTATTTAAAATGTCCAATGTTGTATGTGAATCTATGTTACATCTGGGATGGGCATTATACAAAAGCACAAAGATTATCTATGACAATCAGTGTTGCAACAAAAGAAAAACTAAAACAGGGAGTTATCGTCGTAGTCCTGGGCAATGTGAGAGGTGAAATCACCCTTTGATTGGTGTCATGTATTTCAGCACTTGGATTGTCTTGCAATGATTATTGTGTTACTAACTCATTTTCTTTGAGTTAAAGCTGTGTATATGTTTTTAAAAAGGCATATAGATACTGTGTGCATATGTATATATGCACAGGGAAGCCCAATATGTATATAGTATGCTGTACACTGCACTTGTGCGAAAACTTCACCTCAAAGAAAATTTATCTCTTTTTATAAACTTATGCAAACTTTGAAAATGCTTCAAAGAATTTATCTCAGTACTATCCTTCCTGACAATGTCCTGATAAATTTCTCACCTGTTATAGATTTTTTTTCATCTATTTCCTGAATAGTCTATTCTACTACATAAAAATGAACTAAAAAATATTTTACGTACAGACACTCTTCTAATTTTCCTAAGTGGCAGCCTCATCTCATAAATATAGATTCTGTCATCACTTTAGGCAAACCTCCTCATGGATAAGTAGTTGTGCACACTCAGTGATTATCAGTGCTGAGAAAGTGTTTCTCTGTCATCTTGTTTGTTTTCCCACTTTTTTCACGTTGGGTGGGTCCAGAGAGTGAAACACTCTCTCCGTGTATTGATCTTTGGGTCTGTGTGAATCTAATCCCCCATCAAGCAACCCTACTTCAGGTGGATTTTAATGATCTTTGATGCCAGTTGTTCCATCCATTATGATGAAAAGTTTCTTTTCTTGAGCAAAGCGCATCCTTTGGCACTGACGGCTCTGTTCTAACTGGGAGTTTTGAGTAGTCTTTTCCTGATTGTGTATTATGTAACACAAGTGTTTTTAAATGCACTCTCACCCAGTAGGCCAGCTCTCCAAGCACTGCTTAGATGCTCAAAAATGAACATATTTTAAGTTTACCATTATGAAATGCCAATACAACTAATCGCATATAAGCCAAATGTTTGTGGATCACTTTATGTTTTCCTGAGGTTTTTCCACTTCTCCAAATCTTCTTGCAAATCATTGAAAGAAATATTTTCTAGCTCCAATAGTCGCTGAACACTGGGGAGAGGAAAGTAGGCATTTTAGAAACCGGAGCCATACATTTATTATAAGTTTGTAGTAAAAAGGAACAATTTCCTAATCCATAGAACAAGTATCATCTAAAGTTGAAATTTATCTTTTTAGCAATTAATTGCTATTACTCATATCTAATTTTTTCAGCACTTCAATTGATATATGAATTTTAAATACTATATGTGTTGTTATACTATTGCTTAATATAAAATCTAAAAGTCATCCCATCTATCTGAAGTGATGAAATTTAACTAGTACATATCACATGTATGTGAAATCTTTAAGGGGTAAGTTCTGAAACATAACAATTATAAATATCACTGTCATGCAGGCTCAAAATATGTACTATATCACCACTGGATTCATTTTGATACAAAAGATAAAAAATTAGAGGTGGCTGTCTTGTTTTGTGTTGTGAATTACTGAAAATTCTTAGTAGTTGTGCCATTCTTTTGAGTGAAATCACCCTTTCCAGCTTTGAGTTACAAGGGGTTTTATAGTTCTGTTTTCCTCTGCACTGTTAATAATTTTTATCCTCTTTCAGTATTTTAGTGGCCTTGAACAAATGGTTTAGCTACAATGTCAAATCTTAAGTGTATAATTATGTGCAATGTTCAATACCTCATACTTGTTCAACAGTATAGTGATATCAATGGCATTGAGATGGAATTTTTGTTCTACATATTTTTCAATAATTTATCCTTTCCAGTGTTGAAGATTATATGAAGCTTTAACCTTTTTTAGTTGTTTAAATGAGTAATATTTTCAAAATAATAAAATGACCAATGATATCTCTTGGAATATTCTGTAAAATGTAGTCATAAAATTCTATTTTCTACATAGAGTTTTTATCTTTTTTCTCTCTGTTGTCTGTCTTACAAATCATATATATATATATATATATATATATACACACATATATATATATATACATATATATACATGAAATAGCAAATTGTTAAAAGAGTTCAACATGTAGGCTTAAAACTTTACTGTGCCAATATATGTATGACAGTAAAACTTGGTTGAAATTAGAAAGGACTAAAGTTTACCATCTTAAGTATTAAATGTCTCTAGGTAACCTGTAAATAAAAAGTTTTCCCCGTTTTTACACCTTTACCCTTAAAATGTTCTTACAATTGTTGTATTTTTTTTACACATACAAGCACAACCTCTAAGGCTATTATCTACAATATTAAGTTGATTCTTCAGTTTCAATAACATGGATTTTACCTGGACTTTAAACTCACTTTGGTTTGCATTATTTCTAGGAAAATTGTATCATATGACTGAGATTTCTGTGATAGTGCAATTTACAAATATAACAGTAAAACTTACAAGGTTATTAAGATTATACCCTATTTTATAACTCGGGGCTTCCTAGGTGGAACTAGTAAAGAATCTCCTTGCCAATGCAGGAGGCACAAGAGACACAGGTTTGATCCCTGGGTTGGGAAGATCCCCTGGAGGCAGAAATGGCAACCCACTCCAACATTCTTACCTGGAAAATCCCATGGACAGAGGAGCTTGGTGGGCTACAGTAAACGGGGTTGCAAAGACTTTTACACAACTGAGCACACATGCATGCACGATAAATTGCACTTCATTTTCAATGCAATATACGGGTTCATTTGACTCTTTTCAAAAACATAATAATTATATTAGCCATAATAATCTGATCAAAACACAGGCTCAGAGTAGCAACATGAACTGTTTAAAAATTATATAATTGTCATTTGCAGAACAGTTACAATAACTTTAGACTTTCAAGAAAGCCTTCCTACAACTAAACTATAAAGGCATGTTTGAAACATCTGTCAGTTGCATTAATTGGAGATTTTCCAAATATCAGAAGCCATATTAAAATACAAATTACAAATGTCTACAATTATTATTGGGGCTCCTCTTCTGGCTCAGATGGTAAAGAATCTAACTGCAATTCAGAAGATTTGGGCTTGAATCCGGGTCTCGAAGATCCCTTGGGGAAGGGAATGGCTACCCACTCCAGTATTCTTGCTTGGAGAATTCTATGGAGGGGAGCTTATTGGGCTTACAGTACATGAGTTCACAAAGAGTTGAATAGAACTAAACATCTAACAATCTTTCTTTTCACAATAATTATATTATTTTTTAAAGTCTGTGTTTCTAGTTTGTATAATGTCAAACAACTGAAAAAAGTGTTAATCAGCTTTCACTTTTAGTCAGTGTAAATAGCCAAATCATGGGAAAAAAACGGCTCATTGATAATACTTTTCAAAATATTTTGGTGAACATTATTTAAAAATGACATTAAAATATTGACAATTTATTTTCCACAAAGATTTCTCTGATAAACTTTGTAGTAACAGATGGTCAGACCACAGGTAAAATGATGTCCATTTAAATCAGTGAAAGTAATCTTTAGTAAAATGTTTATAAATGTATGCAGACCTAAGCAGTGCAACAGCAATTTTCACACAAATATAGTACCACATGAGATATAGTCAAGAATTCCTAACAGAGTTTCTGATAATATACTTAATTCAAGTCTATTGGAATTTTTTTCCTTTTAATATATTTTTTTATTGAAGGACAATTGCTTTACAGAATTTTGTTGTTTTCTGTCAAACCTCAACATGAATCAGCCATAGGTATACATATATCCTCTCCCTGTTGAACCTCCCTCCCGTCTCCCTCCCCATCCCACCCCCTAGGTTGACATAGAGCCCCTGTTTGAGTTTCCTGAGCCACACAGCAAATTCCCTTTGGCTATCTATTTTACACATGATAATGTAAGTTTCCATGTTACTCTTTCCATATATCTCACCCTCTCCTCCCCTCTCCCCATGTCCATAAGTGTATTCTCCATGTCTGTTTCCCCATTGCTGCCCTGTAAATAAATACTTCACTACCATTTTTCTAAATTCTATATATGTGCATTAGAATATGATATTTATCTTTCTCTTTCTGACTCACTTCACCCTATATTATAGGTTCTAGGTTCATCCACCTCATCAGAACTGACTCAGATGTGTTCCTTTTTATGGCTGAGTAATATTCCATTGTGTATATGTACCACAGCTTCTTTATCCATTCATCTGTTGATGGACCTCTAGGTTGCTTCCATGTTCTAGCTTTTGTAAATAGTGCGACAGTGAACAATGGATACATGTGTCTTTTTCAATTTTGGTTTCCTCAGGGTATATGCCTTGGTGTGGGATTGCTGGGTCATATGGTGGTTTTATTCCTAGTTTTTTAAGTAATCTCCATACCATCTTCCATAGTGGCTATATCAATTTATATTCCCACCAACTACAAGAGCATTCCCTTTTCTCCACACCCTCTCCAGCATTCGTTGTTTGTAGAGTTTTTGATGATGGCCTTTCTGACTGGTGTGAGGTGATATCTCATTGTAGTTTTTACTTGCATTTCTCTAATGAGTGATGTTTTTCATGTGTTTGTTAGCCATCTGTATGTCTTCTTTG